CTCTGTATCTCCGACATTGGTGACTGATTGTCCTCGACATTTTGATCTTGTTGGATGACATTTTGGACTACCATATCGGTGACCTATCAGATTCTATCTCGGTGACCTATCGGTGCTGTCTACCTCCCCCACCTCCTTCGTCTCTCCCCCCACCTTTCATCTGTGTATGTGTGTACGGGATCTGGGCATCGTCCATGTTTGGCCCAGACCCCACCATCTCGCGATTGTATGTGTGTGGAGTGATTCTATGTGAGTCAGTCTATGTGAGTCAGTCCGTTTATCAGACTTCCGCTGCATATATGCTCATCCTGCATTGGTTGATCTTTGGTTCTGCCCATACTCATTGAAGTATGTAACAAGCACAGTTTCACTAGCAAAGGAGTAAGGTAAACTGTGTCCCACAAACACCTGCGGGACATCTGCGGGACGTCGTTCGACCACTGATGCAGGAGAGTCCGATGGCAGCGAAATTGCCATGGATTTATATTCTGAAGTGGTGTTGTTTTTTTTTTTTTTTTTTGCTTTTTTTCTTTTCAGTTCCCAAGAATGGGAGGCGGGAAAAGCAAATAGAAAGACTCATTTTGATTGGCAGCTCCTCAAAAGATTAAAAAAAATCGAGTACTCCAAGGGCATGTTTTTGACCGCCTTCTTTTTCCCAGTCAATTGCAGCTCCATCGAGTACTTGATTTTTCTCTCAAAAGATATGAACTGCACGCTTCGCATGGCAACCATCAGGGAAGGGAGTCCCATCAGGCACACAAAGGGACTCCCTCGCGGTGGTACGCGAGACTGCAACAGTCACGTACCACTGTGTCCTGATTAGGCATTGGCTGGATGGGGAGGAGGGGAAGGAGACGGGAGGGTTAGTCGGACAGCAGCACTTTCATAAGTCGGCCTCYTTCCCATCTTGGGAAATGTGACGTCGGCATTTTTTTTTTTAAGTCTTTAAAATTACTTTTCTTCGGTTTCTTACAGTGCCGCACAGGTCATAATAGGCCAYGACTCGTGTGCTAATGGAACCGTGCTCCAGGGGTGAAGTCCCACCGCCGAAGTTGAGTTTTCTCAATGCTGMGCTTTCTATCACGTGTGGCATGGTGGGACGGAGCTCTGCCGTTGATGTATTGAGAATCTAAGGGTACCGAAATACAGGAGAATAACCTATTAGATTTGGTCGTTTTGTAGATTTTTTCTTTGACGTGAAATCCGTTCWRGCGTATGCTTTGGCCCTTTCCGTTTGGGCAGGAAACCATTTTAAGTTTACAAAACTACCCTACCCTCCCCCAGGGCCTAGGTCCCACTTGCACGAATTAAGAGATACWGACCGTAGAYAGCAAAGATCAACGRCTGAAATCYCCTAATCCCTGCAAGTGGGACCCTTTCCCACGGTTGATTTCTCAACTTATGGGCCTCGCTGCACTACTCTCTACATGCACAAAAAACAAAAATCATGGCCGTGTATCTTTCCATATTCTGGCAGAAGATTCACTCTCGTTTTG